TTCACCAGTAGTAGCATCCCATATGAAATACTAGTAGCAGCATTATGATAGTCACTTTTTCATCATGTATAGTTATGATAGTCTCATCATACAATCCCCATCTAGCCTGTAATAAGATAATACTATGGTGATACGTATTACGTATTATTATTACTTGTAAGGCTTTACCAGGTAGGTTATCTCCACTTATCTGCATATTCACGCTTAGCTTATGATCATCATCATCATATTCCCATACACTAACAGAGTTAGGCGTAGATACAAACTGATCTCGACAGGCTACGAAACGGTTCTGAAGATATCTCAATATCTGCAATACATGATACTAGTAGTACTTACCTGTTTGTTAGGATTAGTACACCATTCAACACTCCTTACTACACCTTTTACCATTTCCTCAGCCAAACAATTACCACTTAATACATCGAATACTCGTATACATTGATCACCTGATCCTGTTACCAATCTAGTAGAATCATATGTACAAGAGAATGAGAATACAGCACCCTTATGTGGTTCATAAGTACCCAATCTTTCACCAGTATAGGAATCCCATACACACATACCATTATCCTTACCACTAGTAAATAGTAGATCACCATCACCATTAAACCCGACTTGAGTCACAGGTCTACGATGTGCATATATAACTAATGGATGCATATATAAGGAGAACAAGGAGGAGAACAACAACAAGAAGCAACAACTGCCCCTTGGCGTAGCTAAAAGAGCGCGCCCATGTAATCGATTTATATATAGATTGGTTGTGGTTGGGCGCGTGTTGATGATGTCTTCTTCTTCTATGGTGTATGATGATCACGAGCAACAGCAGCATTGTAAGAATGATGGTAGCTGCTCGTCATCGTATGTTGTTGGTCATCATGCAATGAATTCTATATTATATGCTAATAAGAAAGCTGATGAATATAGAAGGCATCTAGGTCTAACACAAGATACTCGTGCTACTGTTGATAATGTATTAGATCCACGTACTATTAATATACTTAATAAGATGCGTAATAGAGGTGTATTTACTGATGTATCTGGTACTATATCAACTGGTAAAGAAGCTAATGTATATTATGCTACTACTACTGATGATACCTATAGTGATGAACTTACTAATGGTGGTGGAT